CCGGAGGCCCAGTGGTTTCCATTGCAGAATGCGCATGAACTGGATGTCTTGGACGTTGTTGGTACGGTATTTCGGCAAGGTTTGTAATGGCGTTCCTGCATGCTGTCGTGTTGATTGTGCTGTTCTCGATCCGACTTGCGAATGGTGTTGATGAGTTGATTGGTAGCACGTTCCAGTTGTGTAATACGATGTTGTAGGTCTCGGATTAACTCCTAAATTAAATTATCATATGTCTTCTTGTTGCATGATGTAAATGAGAGGAATCTTATTTACCGATTTTTTATTCCTTTTGACTTGGGGTTCTTTGTTACATGTTTCCCCGTGTGTTCGCTTCTTGAATCATTGATAGTTTTGTTATATATAGGTAGGTATCTGAGTATCCAAAGGATAGGATTCAAATTTGTAAAGGAAATGAATAACCTGATTTGCCGCTGTCTTTTTTGATATTTGCGAGACGGTTATTGGAAGGTTTTTAAGTTCGTCTGCGATGTTGTGATGTTCCATCTCTCGTTCGCCAACTTCGTTGTCCTCGTTGCTTTGTGTCAATGTGTCCTCGGAGTCGTTTTCTTGCACGATTAGACTGCTTTGGTTATCTTCGTTGATGTCATTGAATGGAATTTCGAAAAATTGGAACGGGTCATCCTCCATATCCGGAATATAATGATGTGTGTTGTAAGGAAGAGGTTAGGGTGATCGAGGGTTACAAGGCGGATATTTATAAGAAAATGGTAATGAATAACTATGTTTCATGGAAACTGGATCCTCGCTGAATGAGTTTCATCCTTAAATTGCTTTTTTATACTCTATTCGTTTGATCTTTGAATTTCAATTCGAATGTTTGTGGTTGTTGTGGGCGTGGTCTTAGTGCGTTCAGGCGCACGCATATGTTGTGAAAGAATGTAAACAATGTTGATGTCAGTAAACGTGAGCCGTTTCTCACGGTGCCTTTCCTTAATTTTGATGTCGTGGGCGTGGTCGGAGTGCCTGCATGCGTACGCATATGTTGTGAAAAAATGTGGACAATGTTGATGTTAGCAAACGTGAGCCGTTTCTCACGGTGTCTTTTGCATGCTCGTGTCTCTCTCCGATGTGTCGTGTCTAGCGTCTTGCGCCTGATGTTGTGTTTTGAAGGCGCTGATTCATTTCCTTGGATATACCTTTTCTTTTATTCAATTGATTATGGTTTCTTATTATACCTAGGGAATTGGATAATTCCTTTTGTGTCTTCTATTTCAACCCTTGTACTGTTTATTTAATGTTTTTTTTCGTTTGTTTTTTTTTGTATTTTCTTGCGTTGTATTGAACATGCACGCAACTACTCATTTTTATTGGACTAAATTCATGTTATTTGATCATGTTGATTGAAGTTTTCTTCTTCTTCTTCTTCTTCTTCTTCTTCTTCTTCTTCGTTTTGGCGTTGATTTTCCATTTGTCTTCGTCCGGCCAACAACGTCAGCGCGTAGACGGTGAATTCCAGCTGCGTGCATCTTCTTTCCATGTCGCGTTGCTTTTGAAGTAGTGAGTGCAAGGTTTCGTGTAGTCGTTCGACTTGATGGTGCAGCTGTTCGAAATACGGCTGCCACGGGATGTACCAGAATGTTTGTGGTGGTTGGGGGTTTTGATTCATCTAAAATAAATTATGTTAACTTCCACTGAAAAATTTTTTACCTTTAATTTTTTTTTGTCTTGTGATGTGGTTTACTTTCTGATTTTATGCTGTTGGCATTTCCTCCCTTTTTTTCTGTTTTTGTTTTGTTTGTTTGTTTTTGTATTGTATTGTATTGTTTTGTTTTTTTTTGCTCAAACAAAGAGTCATACAATCAAAGTTTATTCGTAATTTGAATAAT